GGGTCTCGCTCCCTCAGCCCATGGCTCCTGGTGGAGTCCTGGGCTATGCTGGGTGGTAGAAAGTCCATAGCCCATCCCATGCGGCAAGAGCAGGCAGCGGCATGTTGATAGGGGAGGAGGAGGAAGGCCATCACAGGCTGGCATTCTGCTGGGATGACATGTGGCTCTCCACTCCTTTGGCTCCAGGATGTTGACTAGAGGGAAACCAGCCCGGGTCACCACATCTCTCCCATCACATGCACTCAACAGCATCCTGCCCTCGAGGCATCGGGGGCATTTTGCCAGCAAAAAGTCCCACAACAGGTAGAAGCTCTTTGCTGTTGGGCCTGGCCAGCTGCGGGCACTGGTGGAGCTTTCTTCCACAGTCCTGCAGTACAGAATCTCCAGCTTCATACAGACACAGCACTGGAGGGACCACTCCTTTGACCACACTGCACTGCAGCAGCGCACGAGTGAAACAGAAGGGAGATGTGGGCAGACGGCATCGCTCAAAGTAAGATGCAGGTTCCAGAGATATCCAGAGGAGCCACTGCCAAGGTCACAGCTTTGCTGTCTTTTTACGTGTCTTGAACGCCTGCTGCGAGCGTTTGGACTGAAGAGCAATGGAGCAGTAACACAATGGAGCTGTCACAATGCTGCTGTAACACAACGGTGCTGTAAACCTACTTGGACTAGTTAAATTCCACCAGCTCACCGGGTTTGGTGGAAAGAGGACTCCAGCATTGCCTCTGCCCCAGCAAGCAGTCCTTCCTCTGTGAAACCTTCCACCCACAGCCACGTCAGCCATGATGGCTATGAAAAAGCCGTTCAACAAAGCCCTTCAAAAGGGGTTGGACTTTCCCCTCCTGCCAGTGCTTGGACTTTCAAACACATTTCCTTGACCCTGGGAAGCTCCTTGCCGTCCCCAGCACTGCCAAAGTCCTCAGCCAGGCTGCAGCTATCAGCAACGATGCCATTAAACCACAGGAGGAAACAGAAGCCCATCCTACCAGGGGCTCAACGTGTAAAGTTTTCATTGCATGCAAGAAGCAAAGGAAGGGATGTCAACAACTGGCAGTGCCCTGCCCAGGCGCCCAACACACTGCTCCTCCCCGCTGCTGGGAGCAGACGCGATGCTCGAGCAGGACTAGGGGACAGACCAAACCCACACACAGTGGAGAGTTTCCTTAAGCACAAATGCCTCTGGACAAAAGGGCAGCAAAAGGCAAAACCTGACTCCTCCTAAATTTCAAGCCCTTGCTTCAAGGCAAGAAGAAAACAGCAGTTCCCAATGACATGGAAATAAAGAGTTTCACAACTTATTTCACACGGGCAAAGCAATATATTTTCACCTAATCTCCCTCTTGGAAATGGTCAGTTTTAGCTGAAATCAGACATGCACACACAGAAAAATCACAAATCAGCACAAGGCAGACACCCAGCATGGAAACTTAAACTCCAACACTTAGAGTCTGGCAAGGTCATCAGCAACCGAGAGCACGGCCTCGCACAGTGCGGCAGTTGTAAATTTTTAGGAGTGCGTAACTCACTGCATTGAGGCAGATGAAAAGACAAACTAAAAACCCTACACATACTGAAGTGGGCAAAATGTCTTTACCTGTGCCTTGCCTCATCCCTGCTGCCAGACTTGTAGGGGAAAACTTTGAGACAACTTCAGAGATGTTTGTATCCACCTTATCAATGACCTTGCTTTCTCTGTGCATACATAGTTATCCATGTGGACATATATGCAAAAGAGATAGATCTTCACTGTTTACAATTATTATTTTTAATACCACAGGGGATTTGGGATCTGCTGCAGTTCCCAAAAGGCCAGTATTTGCTGTATCCATTGAGCATTATCCACCCGAAGGAGGAAAAGCAGGCAGAGGAGCACTCAGCAGCAGAGGCTGTGCTTGGAGGTGCAGCCCTTGGCATCTGCAAATCTTGTTATGCCACAGGCAAACGCCACTCTGCTAGTGCCTAGGACCCTCCCAGCTCTCCTATCTGATGCTGACAAAGGACATTTCACCATCCAGGCGGTACATGAGGTGCTCCTGATGCTACCCACCCTCTGGGAGCCTCTCCCGGTGCAGGGCGAGGAAGCAGTTTAAGGCTTTCCAGCACACTCACAGTGGGCCAGGGCACACTGCGGGGTCTTGGTGACAGGGTGATGCCTCCAAGGAGGTGGTGGCTTCCCACCACGCCCAACCCCCTGCCCTTTCCTGGCCGCCCTCCCTTCCTACTCATAGGGCAAGTCGAGGGAAGGCCATGCCCTGTCTCCACAGGCATCCCTCGTCCCCAGCTCACTAAGCCGCGAGAGGCATGGGGACATGTTCTTACACAGGCAGCACTAACCTCACAGTCAACCACCTTCTCTAGGGCATGGGCATGGCTACTGTCAGCTCCATCCCCTCCGCAGAGGTGGGGGCAGCTTTGCCTAGCCAAGAGAGAAGGTTTGTGCCACGCGATCCCCTCCAGCAGCGGTGGATAACAGTCCTCAGGCACCGTGACCCATCCCTGCCCGCGGGGCTGAAGGGCAACAGGGGGAAGAGAGGGAGACAAATCAATATCCTGCAGGAGACAGGCTGATGGAGAGAAGGATGAGAAGCAAGCTGGGGGGGAAGGGACAGAGGGAACGGGACAGCAGGTCAGATGAAGGTTTAAGAAGTAAGCAAGAAGGGGAAAGTGCTGGAGCTGGTACAAGACAAGGTATTCATGTTGAGGGAATCATAGAATCATAGAATGGTTTGGGTTGGAAGGGACCTTAAAGATCATCTAGTTCCAACCCCCCTGCCATGGGCAGGGACACCTTCCACTAGACCAGGTTGCTCTGGATCCTGGTCCACTAGACCAGGTTGCATCCAGCCTGGCCTTGAAGACAACCAGGGATGGGTTGTCCAAGAGAGAGGAGGGATGAGGAAGCCAAAAAGTGCTCCATGTGTCCTCCTGCAGCAAGGGTGGGGATGACCTCGGATGGGCTGCAGGGATGACTCCATTGAGTCAAACTGCGACCCAGTCCAGCTACATGCTGGGGGTTTGAGAGGACAGCATGCACCCCCCTGCCCCCTCAGCCCAGGACCCACCACTGTGGATGGAGCAAGGTGACCTGTCCTTGCACGTATTGCTTACTGCTAGCTCCCGGTGTCCCCTTAACCCTTGCTCAGGCAGCATCCTCCATCCTGCAGCCACCCGAATCCCTTGCCCTGCCACCCCTAACACCGGCATCGCTGACTGAGAGCACTCTGGAGCAAAGCCGGGTGGAGTCACACACACCCCCTTGCACAGACGGGCTCCCCAGGGGTGCCCTCACCTCCGGGTGAGCAGGTGGAGGGAAGAGGAGGAGGGATGCACTGAATGCAGCTTTCTGGAATCCAGCCAGGGCTTCTCTTGTTTGGTTGCTTCATTTGGGCTGTGTGTGCTTGCGTGTGTATTTGCTGGATTTCCCGGCGCCTCAGCAGAAAGCACAATGCGGGCTGGCCTCCAGCTGACGGGGCCAACCCCCCATGAGCCAGGGAGGGAGGGAAGGAGGCTGCTGCCGGTGAAACACAGGCTCCAGCTCCCCAGGAAAAGGAGGCACCCAAACGAGCCTGGCAGTGCAGGCAGCAGCAGCAGTGCTGGGAGGACAGGGAGGAGGAGGAGGGGACCTTACAGCCAGAGCCAGAGGGACAGGGTGGCATTGCCACCTGGGAGCTGAGCTAGGAAGGAGAGCTGGAGGTGAGCAGGGTCCATGGAGATCCACAGATCCTGCTGGGCTCTGCTTGTTTCCACTGCTACCCCTTCCCTGCTGCTAACCTACCTCTTGTACCCCAAAAGAAACTGTCTTCTTGCAGATAACTGCTGGGAAGCATATCTTCCTTGACTGAAGGAGCCCAGCTTTCCTACTGCTCACTGTGTACCCGAAACGCCTCTTCCCTTGGACATGCTGACAAAGGCAGGTCAATGTCTACACAAGAACTGCCCAACGGGAAGAGCAGACATGAGTGGGGAAAGGATGCAGAATGAGAAAATAGTGGGAGAAAGGGAGTTTGGGGAAAAGAGCTGGAAAGAGAGAGGAACTGAGGTTTGGAATCCAGGCACAGCTGCATGGAAGTACCAGGAGGGTTGGTAGGCAGGAAAGCAGGAATAAGATCAAGAGGTAGGCAAGGAGGGACTTGGGGGCCAGGAGAAGCATGGGGGCTCTTTTGCCCATGGATCTGGGAAGGGGATGAAGCATCATTCCTGGTGGTCACACCTCCATGTGCTAGGACTGCTTCCCGACCTGCAGCCCCCTGCGTCCCACCCACAGCTGCTGCGCGCTGGCTCACTCCCGGCACCTTAATCAAGTGCAGGCTCAGCGCTAATAAGTGACTTTAAGCAGGTCTGTCATTTTTGGACTTGAGACTGGGGTTAGAGGGCTGCGGAGGGGGGTGGCAGACGACCGAGAAAGTGGGAAATCAATCTCCAGAGGATTAACACTGAAGTTCTTGCAGGAGGCAGAGGAGCCCAGCCCCAGGGTAGGGTGACCTCCAGCTTGGCTGGTTCCTCCTGGAGTAACAGTGACCTCCTGTGGCAGTGGGCCTGGTGCGAGGGGGTGGTTATTTCCCTCTCTGCTCTGGCACTGTGCAAAGCCACACAGGAGCCTGCAAGGCTTCGGCCACCCCTCGCACAACTAGAGCTGAGGTCTCGGAGCCAGGAGTGAAGGACTGACCTGAGGCCTGGCTCCTGGGACCCCCAGGACACATCCTGCACACCAGTGTCTGGAGGGGGTGGACACCAGGAATGACTGTGGCTCCGTGTGCTTATGGCATTGCCTTCACTAGTGCAGGCAAGGAGATATAGGTCTGCAAGTGCTGGAGGTGGTGGGCAGCAGGGTCTGCCAGCCCCACCACTGACATCGCCCTGAAGCTTTCCCCACCACACGAAAACACTGCCCCGCTCCAGGGAACCCAGCACTTACGCAGAGCCTGAGGAAGGCAGATGTGAGAGGCGACAAAGGCAGGGTCATTCGGATGGAGTTGCTCCATCACCAGCTCACTCACCTCCCTGGTATCGTTGTCCTGGATCAGAGCGTACAGAGGCACCACTCGGTTGATCTCCAGCAGAACTGGCGTGGGGCTGAGCTGCTCCTTGCCAGGGCGCCGGCACAAATGGCAAGTGGACGGGCAGCGTCCTTTCTCCTCGCAGTGAATCTCCACGCCTGAGATGAGGTGGTCATCAGACAGCATCTGTGCTGTCAGCAGGCCTGAGAGGTAGGTGATGAAGGGCATGGATTTCAGCTCCTTCTTGTTCCCAAGCTCTGTTGTTTCTGGTTTAGGAAGAGGAAAAAAAACCAAACAACATTAAATCATAGAATCATAGA